CTTTGGGATTCGCCACTGCCGACCACCACAGCTGCACCCTCCCTTGTCTCCCTCACATGACCCTACCATCCTCCTACTAGAGCCCTTCTATTCTTTCTCCTAGTTCCCTCTTAAAAGATTCTCTCAATGTTCAGACTTTTCATCGCTGGTCATTTTTAAATCTCTTTTTCTCAAAAAAAAAAAAAAATGAAGAATAAATAGGGCTCTGTCTTCTCCCAAATATAGCTGCTTTTACTTTTTAAAAAATAGTGTCCTATTTTTTTAAAAAGACAATAAGAGTTGGAGTGTTTTGAGACACAAAGTTTTGCTGTTAATGCTACTTACTGACTCATTTGTCCATGTATATCTGACCCTTAGTTTAGAAAGTAGCTGTAATTATGTATTTATCTATGGAGATGACTCCCAAATCTGGATGTCTGACTGACCCTTTGTGTCAGCTTTAATAATTTACGTTGAACGACGTCCCTAACATTTTGAATTGTGAATCACACTTTTATCATCAACCATCACTAAGGAAACGGTCATAGTCACTTATCTTACAAGAGTTCAAAGAAACCAAGCAGCGAGCCAGTTCTAAGGCCAGAATCTGGTGATGACTGGTTTGAGTGAATCATACTCAAGAAAGAAGGTGAATCCAATCTGGAGGAGAAGGACCAAGGTTACAAACTCAAACCCATTCCAAGCTGACATCCATAGTGAAGGGGTCTGGTTCAGGTAGGAATAGAGTGCTGTATGGCAGTGGTTCTCAGGATTGGGGAGACAGCAGAATGTTAAATCAAGGTGGTAAGTCTAGGTGAAGCAGAATAAGGCAGAAATGAGATGTAACCCTGGGGAAAAGGCAACAGGAACTTGGTAAAGTGTCATTGAGGTGAACTTGATCTCAGACATGAGTTCTAGACCTGATGCAGACCTGAAATAGGAACATCAGATTCTGACTTTGGGTGAGTTGGCCACACAGAGTGGCTGTGAGAGGTGGGGTCTGTAGGAAGAGGTCAGGGGAGAGCCAGACTATGACAAAGCCTGCCCCCGGGAGAGAAAGGTCTCCTGGAGAGCTTTAAGTCTGGGTTCTCTGTGGTGCAGGAACGAGGCAGGACTGAGTCTGCAAGAGGTGGGACTTTGTGACTTTGGCCAAACAGGGCAAGGGCAGGGTACAGGTGAGCACTTACCAGTGGGAACATCACCTGCTTAAATCCCTAAAACTCCCAAATGGGCTTCCTGTGATGATAAATCCCTACTGCCATTTTCTCAGATATCTGAAAGTTCAGTTAGGTTTGAGTCTTCACCCCTCACTTCTTCATATCTAAGCTGCCATTAAGTCCTAATAATTGTTCCTCCATTTCACTATTAGTACCTTTCTCCCCCAAGATTTGCAACCATGCTGGTTAAGCTCCCGTTGTTTCAACTAACATATCATCCACTTAATAGTTTTCTTCTCTCCAGACTCTCCCACCAACCTATCTTGAATGGTACCAGATTTATTTTCTTAAAACCTAAAATTCTTTTATTTTTTTAATCATGCCATCCTCCTTTCCAATAGTCCCAAAGACTTGGCATTATCTACAGAATAAAGTCTAAATCCTTTCATTCAGCTTTCCAGCCATGCCATGACCTGGTCCTCACTCACTTTTCTCCTTTGAGCTCTCTCTCAGTCTTAACAAAGCTCTCTCCATTGAGATTAGCCTGCCCACTACAAATAATTCCTACAAATTTTCATCTTACAACTTCTGCCCATGTGGTGTGTGTCCTTTGGACAGTTTTACCAGCCTGGACACTTCCTCATTGCCGCTCTCATCAGCCTGACCTCACTTATTAAAATCCTGCTCACCTCTTCTCTGAACTTCCATTACCATCCCCACCCACAGTGACCCTTCCTAGCATTAACTGCCTATTCTTTTATTTTGGTACACCTATAGCCCCTTCTCTAGGTAGTGAACCATCCATGTTTCTCATACTGCCTCCTGGTAGCTAAGTATCATTGGGGATACTACCTTGTGATCATCAATATCTACCAGAGCACCTATCTCCAGGGAAGATGAGTAATAACTATTTTCTCAACAAATAAATGTTCTGGGTTTTTTTTTTAAATATGGATATTTACAAACTGTAATGGCTGCTATTACATTGAATACACACAAGGTAGTGATCAGTTCCATTTTTCTTACACATGGTCACATTTTGAGTTGCATTCCTTTTGGTGGGAGTGGATTTGTGTGGATCCATTTACACAATTTCATGAAGTTTCCCCTGTGACTGATAAAGTGGATTTGTGATATGGCTTCTTAAGGTCATAACTTCTCAAAAGACTTTTGTTTTTGTTTTTGGTTTTGGTTTTTTTTTTTTTTTTTTTTTTTTGCTTCTTTAGAGCTAACTAAACATAATGGGCTTCGAACCCACAACTTCGGCTTCTGTAACAGAACAGTTTAACCATCAGAGGCATATGGGCCCTGGTCTATTTCAGTTTGGTTCAGCTATTTTCCATATAAATTAGCCTGATTCATATAAATGAGTCCATGAGTCCATGAGTACACTCGATATAGGCAGACACCCCATTTCTCCTTCTATTCCATCCCTAGTGAGCAAAGGGAAAGATTCAATATAAAAAAATGATTTTAACTTTTCCATGGAAATTTATGGGCAAAGGGAGATCAGAATGGGAAACAAATAAGGGAGATACAACACCCAGAGTAATGACTTCATCGTCCTCATACAAATAAATCAACTATAAAATCCCTCCTGACTTGGATATTGGTCAAGTTACTCCCACGCTGGCTTGTGGATATATTTCTCTGGATTAATTTCCTTTCCAGTTGGGTCTTAAATAATATGTTTCTGATCCTTAAAGCTCAGGAGAGAAATAACTCATTGTAAAAGAAAAAAAAAATCACATGTGATAAAAAAATATATATATACATTGCCAGAAAATTCAACAGCAAAATGCTTCCTGAGTAGCCCTGGGGAAGCCACGCTGTGCAGAGAAATGGAAAACTCCTGTGAGGGGAAGCCAAAATAGTGAAGGTGCCGTTGGAGGGACTGAGAGGCACATGGTGGGACTTCCCAGAAGGACGGGCTCCAACCTCGATGTAGGAGAACTGCTAAATATCTCAAGTTGCGTTTCTTGTCCCCTTGGTAGGATGGAATCTGGGAGTCTATATTAAACTATTTTTTTAATTAAAAAAAAAAAACCAATATCCTCTGCTCACCTGAATTTGAGAACTGAGATTCCTTTCCACTACACAATGAGATGGAAAATCAGAAGAGTCTCACAATGATTTTAAAATGGAAATGAATCTGGACGAAAAGTTATATAATACAGAAATCAAAGGTAGGATAGAGAAAAATAACTTTAAGACTGAAAATTCTCAAATGTGATTTGCAAACAAGCCAAGAGCTGAGGGCAGAGGCTGACTCTGTTCTGGGATTTTTAGATTTCTTCATTTGTTTAGTATAATCCAATTTTGCCCAGTTACTGGGGTTCACCCCTTGTTTTTTTTACTCTGGTGTCAAGCAGAGTTATGCAGTCAAGAGGCTCCTAGGGGGCAGCAAAGAGACCCAGATTGCATGAGATGCTCTAGCAGAAGGGCCATCAACAAGAGGATGGGCGGGGGGTGGGGGGGAGCTTCATTGCCCTCATCAATGAATGAGAGACTTGAGTTAATTCACTCTCAAGCAGCTGTACATCAAGGCACAGGCCACCTCAGTGAGAGGAGTATTTCATCACTGGCATTAGAATTACTCGTGCCTGGATAATAAAAAGCAGCCTGACTTAATCCTTTTTTATTGTTTGCAACTTCTTTCCAGATAATGCATGCCCTTATCGCCCCTCTGCTCCTCTTGATCCATCCCTGCCCAAAAGCCTTTTTCAATTCCCGAAGTCTAGGACTCTTCTTTTCCTCATCAACATTTAACGGTATCTTCTGCTTCTCTACCAGCATTTTCCTGCTGGACTGGGAGAGAGAGAGCAAACCAGGATTGTGTAGGTTACCAGCAGACATGATCTTGCAGATTGGCAGGGGAGGAGGCATGCTTTAGCCTGCCAAATGGCGAGTGTTATTGAAAGATGTAAAATACTCCATGACTTTGATAATGTGGAGAAATGGCGTGACATGAGCTCTAACTGCCAGCCAAACAGAAGTGACAGCTGATCCATTAGGCCTTCTTAGTTTCCAGGCATGAAGGTTCTTGTTGGTCCCCTGTGGCTTATTCAGAATCTGGCCTCAAGTATTAATTTGCAACCTGCTAAGAGAACAGTGAACTTGGATAAATACAGATAAATACAAATCAACACATTTTAAAATGCTCTTTTCCTTGTTTTGTTGATTTTTCTCCAATGGGTTTAGTATTCCCGAAGAGCTCTAAAGTTGCTTCTTGCATTCCTAATGCATGATTTTTACCAGCTCTGCCAACCTGGAAAAGCCCTAAGTGTGCAGAGGCAGCAACACTGAAGTTTTAGATGTCGAGGGGCCAGAGAACAGGGAGCAAAGTGGCCCAAGGGCAGAAACCTCAGAAGCGAACAGTCTCGTGTCAATTACCACCCCACTCCCCTTTTCTCTGGCCTGCCCCAGACCCCAGCGATGACATGGGCTCAATGTTCATTGTTAAACCCATTCCCAATACCTAATTGCCCATCTACCTCTTCTTTTCTGTTTTCTTTTTCATCTTTTGGGTATGTCCACATTTTTTGGTTTTGGGTTCTCATTTGCCTTCCAGGTTATTCTTTTTTTTCTTTTAGAGAAAGATGGAGAGGGAGAAGGAAAGAACCTTAAGCAGATTCCCTGCCCAGCAGATTGTGCCCTGACACAGGGAGCAATCTCACAACTCTGAGATCATGACCTGAGCTGAAATCAAGAGTCAGATGCAAAACAGACTGAGCCACCCAGGCACGGCCTTCCAGGTAATTCTTAACTCATTTATCTTTCGTCTATCTCAAAGTCCTTACTTTTTAAATTTTTTTTTTCTCAACCCTGATGCCATCTTTCTTTCAGTCCCTTACTATCTCAGAGTCATTGCAGGTTCTCAAAGACCTGAGACACCAGTGACCTCAGAGCCCATGACAAATACTTACGCATTACAGTGGGGCCATCATTGCTGAGCCTGTGATGCCAGGAGCTGACACAGAACCTGGAGGATGAAGGATGAGGGAGGAATAAAGGATAAAGAAGGAGGGAAGATGAAGGAAACACTTCAGAACACGGTACCTCCTTTTATCCTAGGAAAGAAGCTGGGCCTAAGATGGGGGCTGGGGGTACTGGGAGATTCTGAGGGGTTAGGAGGCAAGAGAATTATAAAGATCCCAGGTTAGTGTGGTGTGGAGAACAAACAGATCTTTGGGGAAAGTCTTTACAGGCAAAGAATCTGTAACAAAGATAGCATTCATATTCCATTCATGTTTTTATTGAGCTTATAGGATGTGCTAGGCACCACACAGGCACAGGGTTGAACACAATGGGCAAGGCTCCTAGTCTCATGGAGCTCACACTCTAGTACAGAAGACAGACAATTCAACAAGCCATTGACTGCAAGCGTGACACATATCACAAAACCGAAGTTACAAAAAGCGGTTGGAGCATCTCAATTTGGAAGAACATTTTGACCTTGTTAGGAAATGAGGAAAAAATCCCTAGATGGTCCTTCCAGGGAAAGCATGGGGTAGAGTAACAAAAGGGTCTGAATTCCACCAATGCGCACATTCCACCGCTGCGAGAGTCCAGGTTTCCCCACTGGACAGTGGCCCTGGCTGGATTAGCCTCTGTGCAGATCCAGGTGCTACTCCCATGGTGTGCAACTTCTGGAACTTCCACTTGACTGCCTCTGTCTGTCCCCACATCTTCCCTTTCACCTGTGTCTCATTCAAGCTAGACCAGTGCCACCTCTCACAATATTATCTCAAGGGCAGAGGCTGCAGGGAACCCACTGCCTACAAACTCATTTTTAAAAATCAATATAAGCTCTGTTTGCATTACATTGTTTCAAACTCAGTGTTCCATTAATCTACAGCCAATGATTAAGGAAGGACGGAACCAGGGTACTACTGCTGATCTGATCGGATCCCTTTGCAGAATCACAGAATGCCAAAGCCTAAGGGGTCTCTGGGGACAATTTAGTCCCATGGCTCTCACCTGGAGTGGGGAGTTTGTATCCGAATGCCTGGCAAAGCTTTTGCAAAGTTTACATCCTGCCTATACCCTCCTCCAATCCCGATACACTTGGGTTAGAACGAGGGAAGGAGGTTGGCAGTCTGTTTAGAACATGACCTCAGATAGTCCCAGTGTCTCAGATAGTCCCCTCCACCCCTCCCCATGCCCTCGCTGATCTAATCCAGTTCCTCCTTTTGCAGACTGTCTGGGACTAGAGAGGTTAAGCGACTGTGTCGCACTTCATTGAGCAGTAAAGCTGGGAGTGGAACATAGCTCATAATATTTTTATTGTTTTTCCATGCTTTGGGATCTAAAGGCAGGACTAGCTTTGAGGCTCTTTCCAGGCTTAATTGGCAGCTGGCATTTCTAGTGACAGCAGTGAACACAGAGAGTGTTCCAGATCTCTGCGATGGGCTGGGCCCAGGGACAGGAAGCAAACACCCGTCATATGCTGGTCTGTCTCAGTGCTGCTGAAGCCGTGGGTCTTTGCAGCTAGAGTAGAGGGACCCGCCACCCCTAATACATTTACTAGGTAGCCTTTTACAGAAACAGGTTTGCTGGTTCCTGATAGAGAGAAAAGAGAGATAGAGAAAAGTCATGATGGGAGGAGGATTTGTCTTCCTCCCCCTGAGGCTGGGGTGTAATGAGGGTCTCTTTAGTAGGACCCTCAGGTCCCGGTCCGTGTGTCTTCTTTCATGTCACCAATATCAACCTCTGCTCTGCATGTTCTTCCCAACTGACAAGAGCTGGTGATGTCAGTTTTTACACTGAAACAACAGAGAAGAAGACTGCCCTTACGCGGACAGTGACACAGGCATTAGGCGCTCAGTCTCTCTGTCAGGAAACAGCCCTACCCGTGCATGCAGGCCAGTGGACTGGGGCATTTTGAATATATTCTGGTTTTCCGTAGAAAACAGGAGGATAAGCATGCACATGGGCAAGTGACTAGTTAATTAAGCCCATCTTATCTCCAGCTCTGACCTTCTCACCAATCCTCAAGTCCCTGATCACCCACACATCTCTCAGTAAACTGGTGAGCACAGGACTGGGAAAAAGAAAATGCACTTGGATACTGACTCTCTATGCATCCTTGAAAATGAGGAACTGCCATTATAATTGGTATTCTTTGTCGAATGACCCCTTAAGCTCATTATCTCATAAGAAACCTATAAGGCTAGTATCATTAATCTCATTTTAAAGAAAACTGAGCCTGAGAGTCATTTAATCTACTTCCTCAGATCACCTTCCACTACCTTCCTAACAAATGATGCGATCCAGTTTATTCAGTTCCAAGAACTGTGCTTTTTTATGATATTAAAAAGAAAAAAAAAGGGCACCTGGGTGGCTCAGTGGGTTATGCCACTGCCTTCGGCTCAGGTCATGATCTCAGGGTCCTGGGATCGAGTCCCACATCGGGCTCTGCTCAGCGGGGAGCCTGCTTCCCTCTCTCTCTCTCTGCCTGCCTCTTTGTCTGCTTGTGATCTCTCTCTGTCAAATAAATAAATAAAAAAAAATCTTTAAAAAAAAAAAAAAGAAAAGAAAAAAAAATACTTGTTTCCTTTCTGCTCCTCTGTTTCCTTATCTGTGAAATATGATTATGGTACATTCACTTCAAGACTCTGTCAGCAAAATAAATTTTGTTGATCCTGAAATCCTTAGAAGTTCTATTGGGCCACTTAGTAAGGCATGAAGATACGCCTTTTCTACAGTCTGAGAGAATCCACCGAGATCCTGGGAGCTCCAGGGAAAGGGCAGCGAATTTGCCGGATACCACTGCCTTCATGGAATTTTGTCTAGTCTATTCTGGCTCCCTCTCTATATGGCATGCTAGGATTTCTGATAATTCTTCTGGACAAATAGAGTAGAAAGAAGTTTTATTTGAAAGTCAGTAAAAACATTCATAAAAGAAGAGATTATTCCAAAATTGTACCTTCATTCTTACTAAAAGAATATATTCGATGCTGTATATTTTCTGAGCTTCCAATTAGGTATTACGCCAGCGGAGACGTGTATCCTGCAGGGAGCACAGAGAGCTGGAGACAAGGGAGGGAAGGGCAGAGAAGAAATGAAAAGAGAGCACAGATGCTGGCTCCCAGGGAGGGAGAGGGTCCCAGAAACCAAGGCTGCATAGGCACTCTCAAGTGAAGACAATCTCGATTCCAACAGGCGTTTGACCTTTCCCTACCTTTCCACTGGAACAATCTTTAAAATAAAAAAGCAACTTAAATTACACTCTCTGTGGAGAGAGGAACATTGGTGAATGGTCTTGTCATTCTTGTGAAAAACATAGGTAAAGCTTTGGGGTACAACAACGGACCACGTAGACACAGAGGAAACTTCCACTATTCCCGCCGTCTGTCCCTTCTTAAGATGCAAGGGGTCTTGGTCAGCCAGAAGGCCAACAGCTAGACCTCTATTAGAAGCAACTGTTCTTCAGTGGCCGGGGTCTTTTCCCTCCTTTGTACCCACTCACCCATAAACGCATGCTGCAACACTCTCTCCCTGGGAATCAGTCTCAATGAGCATTATTTTCTTCTGGGAATCAAATTCCCAGTAATGGCCAACATGAGAAGTGGATAAAGGGGAACATTTCCCATCTGGGAACAGTAAGAATGTAATAAAGGGGGTGGAGAGAGAAAGAACATGGGAATGATCTGTACAGTCAGGGAAGTATGCACAGATGCACTTTACTCTCTAGCACCACAGTCAAACAGAACTTTCTGCAGGGACAGAAATGTTCTCCGTCTGCATTTAGTGCCTATCAAACACTTGAAATGTTGCTAGCGCACATGAGGACCCACATTTTAAAGTTTATTTAATTTTAATTTATGTATAGCTGCATGTGCCGAGTGGCTTCTGCATTAAACAGGGGAGGTCTAAAGGATACACATTAGGGCGCCTGAGTGGCTCAGGGGTTAAGCCTCTGCCTTCAGCTTGGGTCATGATCTCAGGGTCCTGAGATCGAGCCCTGCATCGGGCTCTCTGCTCGGTGGGGATCCTGCTTCCTTCTCTCTCTCTGCCTGCCTTTCTGCCTGCTTGTGATCTCTCTCTGCCAAATAAATAAAATCTTTAAAAGAAAATAAAGGATACATGTTAGACAAATAAGTTCTAAGCACCAGAAATCAGCCAAGCCTTCTAAACTTCAACATATCCTTCTGCTTGAGATCTAACATGCAAAATCAAACAGGTTAAAAACCAGGGAGCTAGGAAATTCCATTCTTTCTGAGGGCAAACCACAGACCCTCATATCTCTTGCCTTGTTTAAGGGTGAATAGCAATAAAAAGAAAACAAACATGAGACCCAAGCATGTATTTTGAGACATAAAAGCACAAACACATATTTTTCATCATGTAGTGCAGGAAACAAAAATATATTCTGAAAGTATTGCTTAATGTGCTTAAACTCCCAATAATACTCAAGAATAGGAGTGCTCTATAAAAGGGACTGTTGAAAGGTTAGCTGTTGAGACAACAAGTTGAGACCAAAAAAAAGGTAGCTGAAAATCAGGAAAAGATAAAAAAAGTCATGAGGTGAAAAAGGGAAGATTATAGACATTTAAATTGCAGTCATAAGACTGCAATCTGCATGAGAAGTCCCAAAATACATAATATTGTAAAAAATCAAAGGAGGAAATCTGGAGGACACGGTTTCAAAGCTCCATTATGAGTGTAGATTAAAAAAAAAATGCAAAGAGACGCAAAAAAACTGAATTTGAGATGAGTAAATGGAACAGAAACCACAATCAAATACATAATCAGATGAAAACATTCATAAATATGAAGACAGACCCAAAGCGCAGATTGAAAGAATTGCTGAAAGTTGGCAAAACGGGTGAAAAGAAATGAAGAGCTAACATACCATGTTTTCTTTTTTCTTAATTAATTTATTTACTTTACAGAGGGAATGGGTGAGAGTGTGAGTTGTGAGGGAGAGGGGCAGAAAGAGCAGGAGAATCTCAAGTGGCCTCTGCTGAGTGTGGAGAC